GGGATATCCTGGTGTTCCTGACAGGACAGGTGTGAGACGCAGAGGAGGGATAATGATGTGTGTATCCCAGGGGAAGACATAGCTGACATGTCAGCTGTTTGTCACTTTGGGACCTGGACTCTTCTCCCCATCCCAAATCCAGGAGGAGATTGAGGCCGCCTGTGAAATGCTCCAGGATCGCTGCCGCCGCCTGGGCTCCAAAATCCGGGAGCTCTTGGTGTTACCCATTTATGCCAACCTGCCTTCTGACATGCAGGCTCGAATCTTTCAGCCTACACCTCCTGGGGCACGAAAGGTCAGTTGGAGAAACCCACACAACTAGTAATGGAAAAAGAGTATCTGCTTGCCCTATACAAGATATGTCCTGGGCACTGTTCAGTAATAGTCCTTCACTTCCAGAGCTAGAGAGAAAGGATAAATTCATCATGAACTGAGACATAACCAAATACAAGATCTGTTAAGTAGCACTGTAGGGGTGCAGAGGAGGAGGGAGGTTCTTGGTGTGCCAACAGGTTAGATTTGATCTAGACCTTTAAGAAAAATGGTGGGGAATATCAGAGCAAGGCATAAGGTGAATTTGAGGTCAGAGCATAATCTAGAAGGCTGAGCAGAAAGTTCACATGGTGAAAATTTTGGACTGAGATTAGGGAGGGCCTTTCATAGCAGTTGGAAACATTTGGACTTTAAATGACTGGGTGGCACTCAAAAGGTTTTGAGCAAAGGTATAACTTTCAACAAATGTTTAACAAGCTCTCCCACATGCCAGTTACTGTGAAGATAACAGTGATGAACACAACTAAGTCTCTAGCCTCCCAGAGTTTATAGTCTAACAGAGGTTAGGAGACAGTGGACATGTAAATACACAATGCTGATTTGTGACAAATGCTAATGCTATGGAGAAATATAGTGCAGCTTGGGAAGATGGAGACTGACTCTAGGGGGTGGAAGTGAGGAATGAAAGGAAAGTATTTTCCTTGGGTCTGGGAAGGCCTCTCCCTCTCCAGTAAGGTGAAAGGGAAGTTGAGGCCTGAACTCACTGAGGGAGGGAGCCAGGCTCATAACTGGGAGATGAATGTGTCCAGCAGAGGGAAGAGTTCATGCAAAGGACCCAAGTGAGGAATATGCTCAGACCAGCCTGGGAGCTCATAGTCCTCATAGGTAAGGTCAGAATGGTAACCAGGGCTAGAGGACACAGGGCCTCAAGGGGCTTGTGTATAATTCTCAAGTAGGCGGGAAGCCATTGAAGGTTGGGGTTAGTAATGTTAACATTTTAAGGAGCATTTGGATGCCAGGTAAGCAGGGCTTGGAGTAGAGGCAGGGAGGCACATGAGGAGGCTATTGCAGGAAGTAGTGAGTGAGGGTGAATGTGAAAGTGGTGGTGGAAAAGATGGAGACAGGAACCTGGACCCACCCTTTCCCATTTCTGAAAAAAGTTCTAACTCATTTTCTCTCCATTCCCTTTCCACATCACGTACCCATTATCCCTTCTTCTCCCTTGCCCCTGCCTGGCCTTAGACCCCTCTCCTGCCTTTGGACACTAATCCCCTCAGCTCTTGCCCCTTGTCTGCACCTACTTCTCTACTTGAATCTTCCAGGATTACTTTTTCTAGGTAACCTGGTGGATGGTTTCCCTGGGTAATGCTAGATCCTCTCACTCAGGTGGTTGTGGCAACAAACATCGCTGAGACATCACTCACCATTGAGGGCATCATTTATGTGCTGGATCCAGGGTTCTGTAAGCAGAAGAGTTACAACCCTCGCACGGGCATGGAATCCCTCACTGTCACACCCTGCAGCAAGGTCAGCTTGATTGGGCTCCAGCAGGGTCTCCATAGGGAAGGTTCAACTCAGAAGCCTGTTAGGGCTTCTTAGAGGACAAGGAATAAGCAGCCTACATCCTCTCAGATTTCTTTTCTTTTCTTTTCTTTTTTTTTAACATTTATTTTTGAGAGAGAGACTGAGTGCAAGTGGCAAGGAGGGGCAGAGAGAGGGAGACACAGAATCCAAAGCAGGCTCTGTGCCAACAGCACAGAGCCCAGCATGGTGCTCAAACTCACTAACCATGAGATTGTGACCTGATCAGAAGTCAGATGCTTAACTGTTCAAGTCACCCAGGTGCTCCCATCCTTTCAGATTTCTTGCATAAATATTGCCCTTTGTCTTTTCCCTCATCAGATTGTCAATCAGCCTGCTTCTCCTTTCTTTCTAGGCCTCAGCCAATCAACGAGCTGGTCGGGCAGGTCGGGTGGCTGCAGGAAAGTGCTTCCGCCTGTATACTGCCTGGGCCTATCAGCACGAACTGGAGGAAACCACGGTGCCAGAGATCCAGAGGACCAGCTTGGGCAATGTTGTGTTACTCCTCAAGAGCTTAGGTTATTGGGGTCCCCAGTCCTCCTGAGAGAGGAGGGAGGTGGGGTTAGAGTCACTGGTCCTTGCAGAGAAACTGTTCTGTTTCCTCACATCTTTATTTAGGGATCCATGACCTAATGCACTTTGATTTCCTGGATCCTCCACCATATGAGACCCTACTGCTGGCATTGGAGCAGCTGTATGCTTTGGGAGCCCTCAACCACCTTGGGGAGCTCACTACGGTGAGGTGGGAGGGCAGCATGGGCTGGTAGGATGAAGGAATTGGCGTAACCTCTTGCGTGGTGGAGGGACACCTGAGTAAGGAGTGACTTCAACTCTCTTTCCTGTCCTTAGTCTGGTCGAAAGATGGCAGAGCTGCCAGTGGATCCCATGCTATCTAAAATGATCTTGGCCTCTGAAAAGTAAGCATCCCCCACCCTAGCCAGGCCCCCAGCACACAAACTGGCTATGCCTCTTTTTATCTCTTGGGGCCATCTTTGTTATCTTGCTTTTTCTATTATTCTTTAACAAGTAAGTTACTAGAAAACTCTTACTGCCCCTTTTGAGGCTTATAAGGGGCAGTAAGACACTCTCTTGCCCTTGATCATGATATGAAATGGGTAAGATTGACTAAAAGAAAATTTGGCACCTTTAAATGCCATTCTCCTGCCATGGTTGAGGTCAGAGGTGATTACATGAACTTGAAGTGCTGTCTTTTCTTGATGCACACAATACACACCTTCCTATCATAGAACCCTCAGAAGTCCCAAGTGCTTTACTGCCCCCACCTCCAAGTATAGCCTTCCTTTGTTACTGTTTCATGTCCTTGACATCCATACTGCCATTGCTGCAACCAAAATCTGTTCGTTGTGATTTGCACCCATTATCCTAACCAGCAGTTTCCATGTGAGGACATAGCTACACATAGTAATTACTTTTCCCCTCACTGTGTGTCTTCTTTGAATCCTCATGTTTTCCCCTTCCTGTCCCAGGTATAGCTGTTCAGAAGAGATCCTGACAGTGGCTGCCATGCTCTCTGTCAACAATTCCATCTTCTACCGACCCAAGGACAAGGTTGTCCATGCTGACAATGCCCGTATCAACTTTTTCCTCCCTGGTGGGGACCACCTGGTTCTTCTAAACGTTTATACACAGGTCACTAGGCATGGATGATGGGAATGAGGGAGACATGGGGGGGACTCTGGTTCTGCTATATACTTATCCCCCAACTTCTCCCCCACTTTTTTTTAACCCTCTTCACAGTGGGCTGAGAGTGGTTACTCCTCCCAGTGGTGCTATGAAAACTTTGTACAGTTCAGATCAATGCGCCGAGCCCGGGATGTACGGGAACAGCTGGAGGGGCTCTTGGAACGTGTGGAAGTTGGTCTCAGCTCCTGCCAAGGGGACTATATTCGTGTACGCAAGGTCAGCATTTCTTTAGTCTCCTGTTCCCCACACCCCCTCAATATATGAAGTAAGCTTCTCCAGAGGCTTGCAGTCATCCCTCTAGCCTGAGGATATGCCCTCTTCCCCTGTGGAGGTGTGCTTTTCTGTGCTTTCTCCCTCATACCACTGAAAGTTCCTTCTCAGTGGGTTCTTCATGCATTCCTTACCTTTCTAGTTCTCCAGAAGCCTGAACTAAAAACGTAGTGAATGCTTAGGGTGCTTGGATTTCTGGCTTTCTGGTTGACTTTCTTTCCTGTCTGCCCCTAAGGCCATCACAGCTGGTTACTTTTACCACACGGCACGACTGACTCGTAGTGGCTATCGCACAGTCAAACAACAGCAGACAGTGTTCATTCACCCCAACTCCTCCCTCTTTGAGGAACAGCCACGCTGGCTGCTCTACCATGAACTTGTCTTGACCACCAAGGAATTCATGAGACAGGTGAGGGGACCTTCCCCTGCCCAGAAAGGTGGAGATGTGTGGGGAGGTGGGATCCTAGCAGGCTCAAAATCTAGGTTCAACTTGCTAAGACCAGCAGAGAAACAGAAAAACACACTGATTTAAGGTAGGATAAAATAGAAAGACATTGTGTCAGCATCTACTAAGATCTAAGATCTGTATACTCATTCAATGAATCAATTCATGAGAATGCCTGTTGGCTCAGTATTTCAGATGCTGGGGTGGGAATGGTGAACAGAACAGATGTGGTCTCTGTCATGAGTGTAGTTTATAGCCTTTAGGATCATATTTTTTAGGGATAGTTTACCTGGCATCCTGAATGACATGTAGCAGTGTGTCTGTCCTTGGGGTATATAGTATTAAAGCCTGGCATCTTTCCCCTAACACTGTCGTCAAAGGTGGAAGAAAAGAAACTTTTTTGATCAAATATACATTATGAATCTAGGTTGAAAAAAGGGGACCCTGCTAATTTTTTTCTCTCCTCTAGGTATTGGAGATTGAAAGCAGTTGGCTTCTGGAGGTGGCTCCCCACTATTATAAGGCCAAGGAGCTAGAAGATCCCCATTCTAAGAAAATGCCAAAAAAAATAGGCAAGACACGAGAAGAGCTAGGGTAAAGAGAAGGGGACACAAACAGAATGCAATACCAGCTCCTTTTCCTTCTGTACATTACTTAATATCTATTAAAGTATTTTTGGAGTAAAGCTTGTAGGAACTTTTGAGATGCAGAGAAAGTGATGTGGAAATTCTCATATATTCACTTAGACTTTATTATTTACAAGTTAAATTACACAGCAGCTTTACATGGCATGAGATGGCCAAAAGAGAAAAGAGAAAAGAGAAAAGAGAGGAGGAAGCTAGCTCCCAAGATTCTAGGCTACCTCCACCACTTGTGTGTATATAGCAAATTCTTCAGTGCTGCCTCCACCCTGTTCCTGGATCAGGTCTTAGAACACAGGTGTAAGTTGGGTTCTGGCTCTGACAGTCCTAAAGCTACCAGAGCTCCCACTAGCAGCTTCTTCACAGGCGTTGGGGGTGAGTGTGAAGGCATCAGCTGCAGGAACAAAGGTTAATGCCACTGGTGAGATGTTCTATCCCTTCACCCCATCCCCATCCAGCCTAAGGACTCACTTTATCTAGGCGATGGCGACAAATGAGGCCATTGGAATTCAGGTAGAAGGTGGAATAGGCATCATAGGTCCTGGTGAAGGGAGAAAGAAAGCCTTACTGAGTGAGGTGACTGATCCTAAAGTTTAGTTCAAGCATTTGTTTAAATCAGTAGTTGCTAAATTTTGCTACATATTAGATCACCTGGAGAACTCTAGTCCTGAATGCCAAGGCTGCACCCTGTCCCACTTAAATCAGAATGTCTGACAACAATATTTTTTAAAGATCATTAGATGATTCCACCATGCAGCAAACTTTTGAGAACCACTGGTTTGGGCTGAGCCTAAGAATTTCTTTAAATTCTACTCTCTGCCAGAAATCCACCAAATACTCTACCTAGTGTTGTGAAGCTCAACTTATTAGACAAGAATTTTCATTTGTTCCATAAATACTTGAATGCCTGCTATGTATCACATAATGTACATAAAGAAACCTGAGTTTAGAGGTTCCTCACATACTCAGAAGTCCCCATTTCTGTTGTATTAAACTAAAAAAATCCCTGCCCTCAAGAAGCCTGCAGTCAAGTCACAGTAGATCAAGGATTGTCTGGAATACTAGACCTTCAGGCTCCTAAAAGTAGGATTAGGAAACTGAATGGATCTTTTCTCTTACCGGTAAAGCTCTTCCTTGTCACGCTTGTAGAAACGCAGGAAGAGCATGTGGATGGGCAGCCCCACAAGCCGCCAGCGGGCTTGCAGGGTCCAATTCTCTGGGTGGCGGGTCAGCTGTAGAACCTCCAACCGAAGCTGAGCAAAATAGTTCCAGGCCAGGAAGCGGCAGAGGGTCAGTGACAGAATGTACCATGTTAGGCCCCTGTGAAGAAAGGATGGGAAAGCTATCTTATGATGGCATAATCAGAAAACCTCATTGGCCTCTGACTAGGGAATGGGAAACAGTTGTGAGAAGTAGCAGGACTTTCTCTGGTAAGTAAAAAATGTCAAGTATAAAGCATTGGCTGCTTTTCCTCCCCAAGGCCCTACCCGTGCCTGGATTCTCACTTGGTACGTATGTTCAGGATCTCATTGATGAATTCCACATCCGATGAGTAGAGAGTATAGTCGTGGGAGTGAAGGAAGAGATTGGGAAGCTAGGTGGAAGAAGAAGGCATCAGCCCAGTAGGAAAGAAATGATCCTATTTCTGTTTTCTCTTTTTGGTGCCTCTTTATTCCCCTCTGAAAGGAAATCTCATCCCATGTCTAAGTTCCCTTAATTCAAAACTGAAGAACATCTTTTCCTTGGGAAATGATATTTTATATACACACACACACACACACATACACACACACACACACATATATATATATATATATGTGCCTGCCTTGTGATTTCAAGAAAATCCTCTATATCCAAATATTACCTACATCCGTTATCACTGTGGATGAAGGCCACTTTCAAGCTGACTTACCTCTTGTCTCAGTCTCTCATACATGATAGCCAGGTGCTCCTCCATACTTGGATCTCCTGATGGAGTGGTAGGGGAAGGGCAAGAAGTCCCAGGGGCTTGGAAAGGTATCAAAGCCCCAGGACAGGGGCAGGGAGGTCCCTCAAATAGGCTCCTAAGCCCATCCAGGCAGCCGCTATGCATCTCAGGTCCTGGTCCCTCCTCCCCCTTTCCTGGAGGGAGAACCATCCATGGTGAGCTGAGGGCCTGGATCTGAGGAAGATGGAGTGGGGGAGCTCGGGGAAGCAGCCAGATAGGAGGGGGTGGGAGTGGGGGAGACCAGAGAACAGAAGATGGAGAAGTGGTTGTTGTGGAGTTGGGCCAAAGGGGGGGGAATGGTAGAGCCCGTGAAGAAAGCTGGTCCTAAGGAGGAAGAATAAAAGGGAAAAGTAAGAATCTAGCTGCCTGAAGCCCCCCTCGTCTAAACTCTGTTCATTAATATGCTTCCAATCCCACCTGCTCCTCCTGGCAGGAGAGATGAAATTATTAGAGGAATATGAGATGAATTTATCTCCATCTCTACTGAAAACAGGGGGAAAGAGTTTCCTGTGACACAGGTACCAGTACTTCCCCAAAACATTAGCACATTTATTTAAGATCCTAACACTGTTTAGGGGCAATTCCACCTCTCTTACAGAAAGAATTGTAATATATGTTTTGAAAAAAGAATGAGTAACAGATTTTCTCGTACTGTGTATGAAACGACGTAGCCTGTAACACAACTCCAAGAAGTATGTAATAGAGAAGAAAACCGGCTGGAAGTAGGAGACACTTCTCTGAGCTCTGATTATATTGTGACACCTTAGGCACTCTCATTCCCTATACCTATGTCTTATAAATGTCCTCTTATAAACGAGGACGATGAAGCCACACTGAGTTATTAGGCCTATATGATATAATAAATCTAAATAAAACTTCGCCACCCATAAAGTAGCATGTAAATGTAAGCTATTATCATTTCGGGCTCCCCTAATGACACAAGCCCAGAAAACCGTTAAAGAGTGGGCTTCATTCTTCTGGTTTACCGACGCTTAAAATGCAATGAGGGGGAGGTCACTCAAAGTGAGGCCTAGCCCAAGTCTCTCCGCTCTCAAGGAAACCCCCGGGGATCTCACTACCCGGAAGGCTGGCGGGCCGTGCAGGTACCTCTGTCCCCGAAGGTGTCCCTGAGGCAACGTCTCCGCCGGGGGCGTGGCCATCTTGCCCACCCAAGCTCAGGGGCCCGAACCCAGTCCACCCGGGCCGGCCTTTCTGCCCGCACCGCTATCCAAGTGAAAGATGAGCGAGCTGCAAAGCGCGGCCCGTAGGTTTGTCCGGTCGGGATCTGGGAACTCCCGGGCGGCTCCGCTGGCGGGCTGAGAACCTCTCCACCCATTGCCCTTCAAATCACCTCCAGGCACAGGTAACCGCGGAAGCGGGGGCAAAATGCGGCCTCGTCCCGCCGTCCCTGCTTCAACCCCGCCTGCACAACCCACACCCTGGAGAACCACCACCCCGTGCACTCCACCGCTGGTGGGGAAGCCCTTGGGTCTTAGCTACCCCTCTCCCCTCCACGCACCGCCCAGCCCTGGTGAAAAGGGGCGGTAGAACGTCACCGCGCCTGCGCGGACAGGGCGCGCGCTCCGCCCCTTGCGCCGGCTGTGAGGAGGGTCTCACCCCGCCCCCTCCCCTCCCGGTTTCCCCTCTGGTTTCTCACTTGGGAGCGAGCCTGGTAGGTACGGAGGCAGGGGCCGAGACGCCGGGCCGCCCCCCGGCTGGGCTGGTACATGATCTTCCGGGAGTGGAGACAGCGCCTCTCGTGTCCGGCCTCCTCACAGGGTTGAACGCGCCCTGGAACCGGCTTCTTGAAGGGGAAAGGAGGTGGTGGGGGGGTGGGAGTTTAAGGGGCTGAAGGGAGGGAAACGGAGATGTTGCACGCTTGCGCACTGCAGCGGGTTCCAGGGAAGCGGTGAGGGACTTTGCACTAAGTGCGCCTGCGCTCGCCTGTTCTTGAAGCTGCCTCAGAGCGCTTGCGCAGTAAATTAGCGTCCAGGGGAACACAGCTGCCTCACGTGCGGCGCTTACGCAAAAAGCTGGGCGATGTTGGGCCTGAACCAGGTGCAACAAAGAACAAGGGGTGGGACTGAAATAACGACAATTTAGTTTTTTTAGTAGCTCTTGTGATAATACTTTTATTGCTCTGGTTAAAAATAAAATACAAATGACTTGGCACTGGTAAGAAAGCCTGTTGAATGAATGAAAGAATTAATGAATACATCCATCCATCATGAGTGCAGGCTTTCGCTACCTCCTGTAGTGAGAAATTATACAGACTTTGAAAGTGAGAATGGGTTGCGGTCACCAAGGCCTGGTGCTGCGACGGTCCTGCAAGTTTCGAATGAACCTGGCGTTGAACATGTCCCCACCCATTGTCCAGGACTGAGCTGGTAGGGTCTGGGCCTGTGGAGGAACTGTGTGTGTGAGTTCCTCCCCAGACCCATCTTGTGACAAGACCTGCTCCTCGCTGGCACACCTGATAGGTGAGAGGGAGATGGAAAGTGGGTTAAACGGGTAGCAGAATGGCAATTAAGATCAAGGACTCTTCAAGGTCTGTCTGGCCCTGATGTAGAGGAGGACACATGATGGAGTATGAGGCTGAAACCGTTAGTGCTATGTCTAAATTTGAAACCCCCTAGTGCAGAATGTAAGCACGAGTTGAACCTATGGGGTAAAGAGGGTTTAAGGATGTTAGGTAGAACAATTTGTGGGAGGAACTGGTGTTCAAAGGAGAAAGTAGCTGAGAGTGGTGTTAGGAAAGGAGTCAGAGGTGGTGGGAGGCTGGCAGAGGAAGGGCTCAGACCTCACCTATTCTCTGTTTCCTGTTCCCCCTGCTTCCATTCTTGGTTGCCTGTGGAAACACCAGGCATGTGCATGGGAAGGCTGGAGTAGGCAGTGAATATGGTCTACTTGATTTGAGGATAAGGAGGGATGAATACTTACCTGTATTGGGGGATGAGGAATTCAGTCCCCCATGGCGGCTGTAGCAGCAGCTTTGGGCTACCAGCCCTGGGGGAGCCCCCCTGTAGAAGAAATGGGAGATGATGGGGAAGAGGCTACAGGAAGAAAGATGAGTGGGTATGGAGGAGGAATTAGAATAGAGAAAGGAAAGGAATAGTACAGGAAAAGGCCAGAGGGGTAATTATCATTCCTATGGAGTTTTAGTCTAAGCCGTGCTTCAGAAAAGGGGAGGAAGCTCATTTTATACCCCAAGATTTTCTGGAGCAATCCTAGTTTGCTGTAGTCTTAGCTAGTTGAGGTAATGTGTTAAAAATAAGGCTAAATGTGATTCAAGTTAAGTCAGAAAACCAGAGTCACATATAAGCAAAAAAAAATTTTGTTAGACCAGATGCCCTGGTATTTGATTACTATAATTATAGGATATGCCAGACCAGAGGGAGATAAGGAGTGACAAGGCTTAATTTAAGAGGAAAAGGAATTGTACTGAGAGGTCCAAGGGTGAGAGAGAGAGCAGGAAACCAAAATGGGAAGAGGAATCCAGGGAAGAGTCCAGAGACAATGAGTAGGTCTTAAAGATGCTCACAAATCTTGACATCTCAGCAATGGCTGGCCTACACAAAAGGGTAGAGATCACTGGGGAGAGCTGAGGTTTCTGGAGGGAATGGGGAATAGATCCAGAAGCCTACACAGAGGGATCCAGTGACTACATGAACAGGAGACAGACTCTGCAGAAGATCCAGCAGATCTCAGAGATAAGGAATATGAGAGGGACAGAGGTCCAGAGATCCCAAGTAAAAAAACGGGTGACACACAAATGAGGCTGAGACCTGAAGTTTGGTTTTGTTGGGGTTTTTTTTTTACTTTTTTTTTCATTGAAAATGTCCATTTAAAAAACACAAAAGAATGCAATTTTATTCAGACCAGCACGGAAAAGGGGAAGGAAAAGGAGTGAGTTGGGAGAGAGGGAGATCCTGCTCCCAAGTACTGGGATGGGGGAACACATTTGGGAATAACCTTATCTACCACACATTCAGAAAGTAGGGAGGGGGAAGGATGTTCCATACCCTGGGTATGGAGCAGGGAAGGTTCTTGCTATGGAAGAAAGAAAGGAAGTCCAGAGGAAGAGTTCCCCCATCATCTCAAGACAATCTCACAAGACAGGTATATATCAGCGTCTAGTTACTGGGGAGAGATGTATACCAGAGGGGATCCCAGGAGCTAACAGATACTTGAGACTCAGGGCCTATTTTCTGAAACATGGCTAAGAGTGATCACAGGGTGCTCAATAGGATCTACTGCCAAGAAATAAACTCCCTCACAGAATCTGGATTTGGGGGAAGTGATGTTATCTTCACAGGTGTGGGGAGTCTTTAGAGCCTCAAAGCAGACATCAGCTTGGGAGTTCCCAATACATACACAGAACATAGGGAGATTTAGAGTTTGGCAATGTTGAGTGGATCCCTTTGGGGAGCTGGTAAGACCCTGTCCTGTATCACTGAGCTGCTCTGAAGCAGAGCTCATTGGTTGGCTTCAGCAGGCTGTGAAGATAAGTGTGGCAGGCAGCACAAAGCAGTATTAGAGCCACCAATAACACTGTAGAAGGACTATGGGATTTATTCCATGGACATGACTCCTTAAAAGTTTCCCTGGCAGAGGAGGCCCTTCAACATTCTATGGTGTTCTAGAGTCTAACACAGCAAGCAAAAATGTGCTTCTCTGGATAATCAGTATGAACCACCCAACCAAAGGATCTGGGCAGCAAATCAGGCTGTCTGTGGGAGTGTTCAGAGCCCACTTAGGAAAGAAAGTGTGCTTTCTACAGTAAGAAAAGCTACAAAGTACTATGCCATGTAGGACCCTGACAACACTGTTGCCCAAGAAAGTAGAAGAGGGAATCCTATGAGCTCTGCCAGGTTCCACTGGAACCTGGGGACTACAATGGAAGAGTGGGTCTGGGGTTCTCAGGAGAGGGGGCTCTGCCCACCCCAGGTCTCCCAAGGAGGGGAAGGGTAGCTGTCAGTATCGACTCTCATCAGAGCGGGGAAGAGAGCTGAGGAAAGGTGTTATGGACAGGAGAAAGGGAAAGGGAAAATGGGGGAGAGAGAAAAACAGAAAGAGAAGTCAGAAGTGAAGAGAAAGCTAGGGGGAGCAATCAAGGAGATACCCACTCGGCCTGCTAGAATGGGCTCCTGCCATACAAAGCACTAACATGAGGCGAGTGGCTCCCCAAACTGTCACACTGCATCTTCCCAGTAAGTATTAAACCAAGATTTCCCCGATTTGACTCTGTTCCCCCCACCCAATGGATCTGTGTTCTTCCTTCCTACTGTCTCTCACTTTAAAACTAGAGTCCCTAAACTCCATATAAAGTACCATTCTGCTCCTTCATTTATTTCCATACCACTCCTACCACTCCATACCACTCTGTCCCAATATATTCTTATCAAAAGGTTTCAGACCTCTCCAATCCACATGTCCTATTGCTTCACATCTCTGGTGGATTCAAACTGGCCTTTGCCATTTCTAACACCCTCTTTGACAGTTTTGAGTCTCCCTAATCCTCCCTAACTCCTATTACCTGGTGCGGCGACGCTGGGCTGGGCTGCCCCCAGGGTCAGTAGCAAGCAGAAGGCGGGCAGTAGGGTGTGGGGGGCAGAGGCGCAGAGAACGCAGCAACTCCTGCTCTGGCACAAAGGGGCGGAGGGGACCCCGTTCTGGTGAGTTTCCCAGGCTGCTGGAGCGGGGGGGTGGGTGGGCTGGAGGCGCAGCACGGCGAGGGGCCCTGTTTAGGGGCCAAGGAGGCTCCACAGCTACTTTCAGAACTGGCAAGAGGGAAAATACAGACCATGATAGAGAAGGAAAAAAAAAAAAGAGGGAAGAGCATGATGACAGCAAAGATTCGGGTAGAAAAAAGAGAACTCAGCCTTTAGAGAGAACTAACCCTTCCCCTGGATTAAGGCCCCCAAGCCCAGCCACCCTAACCCAGTCTTACATTCTCGGTCACTAGAGGAGTATGGCTTAATGTCTCCTTCTGCTCTCTTGGGTGGCAGCTTTCTTGCTGGAGCTGTCATTGGAGAAGACACAGGCAAAGCAAGCATTAGGAAACATACTTAGCACCCCTCCTCCCGGCTGCTACCCCCATGACCCCAAACCTCTACTCCCTGACACCGCAGTTCCTCCCAGGGAAGGAGAGTTCAGCTCCATCACAGAAGCAGCTATGTGGCAATGCTTTCACATCAAGAGGGAATTCAGGGAAAATGCTGGAGCATTTTTGAGGGGAGCCACAAGGAGTAGGCCCAAAGTGCAGAGTTGGGGGAAAAGACCCAGGGGAAGATTCTGGGGCCTGGGAGATGCAGGAGAAGGGTGGCTAAGGGAGGTGAGCTCTTACTGTCAGTGGGTGCTGTCAGGCCCCCCTGGGATTCTGGGGCAGTAGAATGGTCCCAGCTGGGCCAACGAGGACCCCAGGTCCCTCTAGATGAGATGGACAAAGCCCTTGGTTAATTAGGAATTGCTCTGGAGAGGCCAGGGGAGGTTGGGGTGGGGGCAGAACCTCTCCTCCTGGTGCAAAAATGG